CCTGGATTGTTCTCTACAAAGGATCAGCAAAACCTATTGGATCTGTCTTTAAAATTTGACCTCTTCTCACTACCTACATAGAAACCCTGGTCCAAGCCACATCATCTCTCATCTGAGTTCCAAACTGGTGCCCAAGCCTTCCTATAGTTCATTAGTTATTCACAAGTAGCCAGAGTAATCTTTTTCACATGCACTTCAGATCATGTCACTCCTCTGCTGAAAATCTCCCATTTTACTCAGAGATCAAAACCAGAGTCCTTCAATGACCCTATATGACCTTACAAGGCCTTCTAAATTTCTCCATCCTCCATAACTCTCTGATCTCTTCTCTAATCTCTTTCCATCTCCCTCACTCTACCAACTCTTATTGGCTTCTTTACTCTTCTTTGAATAGAACAAGCAAGGTCCTGACTCAGGGCCTTTGCAGATTGCCTAGAATGCTCTTCCTCCAGAAAGCCACAAGAGTTGATCATTTACTGCTCTTAATGTCACTTTCTCATCTCCCTAAAACAAAAAATTTTCTCCACCCCTACTTGTAACACTTCCTAACCCTTTTTTGCTTTATTTTAATTCTGAACATGTATCATCACAGGACATACTATATATTTATTTGTTTCTACTAGAATGTATGCTCTATGAACGTTGGGACTTTATCTGTTTTGTTCACTGTTGTAGCCCCAGCGTCTAAAGTAGTGCTTGGAGTATAGTGGATATTAAATAAATAATGTTGAATGAGTGATTAAATAAATGAAAGACACATTCACCATTATCACCATAAAATGGCAGTGTTTATCGAAAATCTGTTAACTATAACTAGAGCTAGGTGCACAAAGAACTTCAGAGACATATAAATAATACTGATTCCCTTCAACAAATAATCTATTATATGTTAATTAGCCCATGAAAAACAAAATAGAAATAAGAAATTCAAAAACTTTGTAATATATAGTTTTATATAAAAATAGTCCCAAAGCAGAGTCAGTCATTATTACTAAATCCTTTATCTAAAATAGTGCTTTGTGGTCTAGGTGATAATATAAGGTAGGTTTTAAAAGCAGAATTAAATTACCTAGTAACTATGGTTAATGACAGTTTGATAACACATTTTCATTTTGACTTGTGGTCTCAATACATGCGGTAAAAGGATTAGCCTCAAACCAATTAAGAACATGTATGTGGTTTTCTCTAACTGGAAAATATTCAAAGATGCCCTACTTACTACTTGCCTATAGCTGCCATTTTCTTATTTTCACATTTTAATTCTTATTTAGCATGAGGTTAGCATATCTTGTAGCAAATTCTCTGCTAATTTTTTTTTTCAGAAAGAATATAAGGCAACTATGTAAATACTTGAATTTAATGGCATGATTCAACCACAGATACAAACAATATAAAATTTCACTTGTCGAAATACAGCAATTTTAAAATTTTTATTTTTTAGAATGTATAAAAGTCATATGTCATAAATATCTTTTAATTCATAGTAATAATTGTTTTCTAATAAGCCCTTTATCATGTGTGAAGCCACCTATTCCATACTTTCTTATCTCATTTATTAATTTATCTCATGAAAACAATGATGTTATAATTTTTTTTTACAGATGAGTAAACTGAAGTACATAGAGGTTAAGTAACTGGCTCCAAGTCCCACAGTTTATCAAGGGGCAGAGCTGGAATTTGAACCAAGTCTGCCACTATATGTCCTACTTGTTCTCTTCATGGTGTTCATAGTGATGTCCTTGCTGGTGAAAGGAAAGAGGCAGCACTGGAAAATATGCACTGAGGGTTTAAAAACCTGAGCTGAACTAGAGTAGCTACATGCTATGTACCCTCTTCCCCCGCACTCCCATCCCTGTCACCCTTTGAGAGATTTCTTTATTGCCTACTGAAGTTACCCTAATCTGGTAGTGGCAATGAGTTTAAAAAATAAAAATAAAATTTCTGTAGTATTTTGATTTATAAATGCATTTATTACTTGGTAGGGTAAGACTGATTCCTCTTTTCCTTCCTGGAGTTTTCTGTCTCAGCAAGCATGTCTTTCTGGATTTCAACAAGTCTAAGTGGCTGCCAAGTTATAATTCTGGCTGGGATATTCTGGGGTTAAAGAAATTCAGGAGTTGCTGTGTAGACATATGGTAGTTACAGAACCTAAAGTACAGCTCTAGGGATAAAATGCCAGTGATTTTTAAATAGTTTCTTCCCCATAAAGTCAATCCGCTATGACAGAGGGCAATCGATGATATTAGATAAAGAAATCAGGCCAGCGTTTGCTTCAGTACCCCAGATACTATAATTAGAATAGTGCAGAAAAGATGGACATGACCTCTGATCAAGAATGACATGCAAATTTGCGAAGCATTCTATTCATTAAGTATAAGAACATAGGGTACTTGTCTTCACCATTGTTCAAATTTCAAGGTTATTTCTCTTTTAATCTAGAGTATTGATATTAATGCAATACAATTAACTTAGGAATCTTCAAGTAATATAACTAAACAGATAACATAGAGATAGAACCTAGACCATGGTCACAGCTATCAAAACCAGGAGGAAAGATAAAATGAGAAAATAATATTTAAAAAAATGCTTCACCTTATCTGAGTGGCTCTTAAGGGTGATGGAGAGAAAGTTGTTAAAAATAGCAAACTTAAGATATCAGAAAGACAGCTTGCTGTTGACAATAATGGAGTAACTGGCAAGATGCGCTGAAAGATAATTTAGTTGCAAATGTACTATAGGTCTGGTCTCAGGCAAGACATTCAAATGCACCACAGATATGTGGTAGCCGTATATATAGAATATTGATTGAAGCCCAGAAGTTGAGTGAGTCTAGAGAAGGAGCTAGGGAAAAGGCAAGCACCAAGGGCTGCCCCTCAATGTGGTGGGGTAAGAGGAGTCGGGAGAGGAGTCTAGGTGGAGGGTTAGAAGAGGGAAGGTGTCACTAAGCAGGTGTGAAAAAGAGGAGTTCCCACCCAGAAGATGTGACAGGGTCAGGTAGCCAAGGGAAGTAAGAATTTTGAGTAATTAAGAAGGACAAATGCTAAAAAAGAGGATTCAGAGGATTTCGCCTTGGAAAGGATGCCATTTTAGAAGAGTAGTTTCAGGAAAAAAGTGAAAGTAGACATCACAACAAAGAGCTTAAAAAACAAGGATGTAATAACCAAGGCTGTAGAAAATCTGTCTGAGAAGCTTAAGAAAAGGAAATAAGAAAAATTGGTAGTTCAAAGGGTTCAAAAAATGTAAACTTAGTGGAACTAGTGAAAACACTCATGTTATGAATGGATCTGATCACAGATAGTGGTGTCTAGGAGTCCAAGGGGGCCCTATATTTATCTCTGCAGATTCCCTTCAGGAGTTCAGCAACTGAGAGAAACCCCAGTCAGCTCATGAAAATCAAAATGTAAAATTATTTGTATTTTAATTCATTTAAAATATTTAAATAATTTAAAATATTTTATAATATGTACTGATGAAGCTTGATAATGGAGAACATGGCTTTGGTATACGGCAATAGTAAACTTTCTAATACTAATCCTCCCAGAATAAACAGATTTATTTCCCTCACCACCCATCACAGGCAGCGCTAGATAGCTGCAGATTGCCACACGGGGCCTCACTCCTCTAAATCCTACAGCATATTAGAGGAGCAGACCAGAATAAGTCATTTCTCTGGTCTTCTGACTCCTGCAGAAAAAAGAAAGAGGGAGGGACTGAGGTGCAATGCCCAGTTCTTCCTGAGTAGAATCACCCCCACTTTCAAGAGGGAAGAGTGAGCCAGGGGTGAGACAAGAGGTGGGGAGGTTTAAGGACACTCTCTCCTCACAGAAACCAGTAAATGAGGGAAGAAACATTCCTCAGTACCCTTCACTACTCCCAACCCCTACTCTTAAAATATTGCAGAATAGAATTTTTAAAAGAATTAAAAGAGAGGCTCAAATTTTTTGTTCAAAGCCAATGTCAATTAATAAATCTTCAAGTTTTAGCCTTAACAAATAACATTTGAAATTTTACCAAGTTTGATTGGCAGGTTAGAGATCCTCGATCATTCAATTATAAATACTTAGATAAATATATTTTGAAGTAATAATTTAATAGCTCTCTCTAGCTCTCTTTCCTAACTGGGTCTCTCTCCTTCAGCTTCTCCATTCTCCAGCAGCAAATGATTTCCTTTCCCCTCATTCAATTAGCCACCAGGTCCAGTCACTTTTACCCTCAAAATCCTCAAGACCCAGTCTGCTCTACTTCAAGTTACTTCTTGCATTTTCATGCTCCAGAGTATTGAACTTGTTGAACTTTCTCAAAAATGGCATTTAATCTAATTTATTTGTTTCAGAACATGCTGTTCTTTTCTACCTGGAAGGTTAGTCTTCCTCTACCCCATTCATATCTCTCACCCCATCATCACCCCACACCTCATTCTTACCCCTCACTCTACCTCTGGTAGAAATGCCTGATTCAAAGCCCTTGCACTGAACCCTTAGGCAGTGCTCTTTCCCAGAAGGTACTCATTTATTTCAAGCTATGTCCAGAGCCGACTTATTCACCAGGCAGATTAGGCACGGTGCCCAGAGAGTTCACTACTTTCAGGAGTCCACAAAAATGTTTAATTACGTTTTAAATCAGAAGGAAAAAATGAACTGTTAAGTCAAAGAAAATGTTTTAATATATAATATTAATATATTTGCTTTTATAACAACAGTTGTAAAATACTACCTATAAAAATGTATACACACATGCACGCACACACACACGTACTATTTTTTTCTTAATGAAAGGAGTCCATGAGGACAAAATTGCTTAGGGCCCATGAAAGTTATGCTGTGGTCCTAGATAGTCTTGAATTTATTTTTTTACATTCTCAAAATAAAATCAATTTTGATTCATTTTTCAGTAAATGTTGCCTTCTGAAGGCAAACTAAAAAGGTAACCTTAAAAAAAATTGAGGAATAATTATTTCAAGCCAAACATAACTGGCGATTATAATCTTTTTTTTTTTTAAGTTTAGAGACAAAAGAAGAACAACAATATCTCACCTCAAATTATATTAACATCTCCATTGATTCATTACGAGGAGGCAAAAACTATTTGGTTTGGGTCCAAGCTGAAAATGTACTAGGCATGGAGAAGTCAAAACAACTGCAAATTCACCTGGATGATATAGGTAAAGAATAAGAAAGTCTATATTTTTATGAATAAACAACTAATTTGTGCTGACCTAGTAGAATGAAGTCTAGATCTGAAAGTTCCTCAAAAGTTCCTCTAGATCATGATAAAGTATACAAGAATTACCCATAATTTCTGCACAAGTGTGTGTGCTTTTAAAAATATTTATTAATAATTTCTTATGTTTGAGCATTGTTCTAAGGGCTAGGAGAAATAATATAAAGGTATCTGTTGCCCTAAATATCTTGTGATCTCCTAGAGAAGATGAAAAGAAATAAGGATTAGAATAAAGTGCTATGAGTTTTATATTGTGAGAAGTATAGCATACTAAAGAATTTTTCTGTATACCTTATGGTGGAAGTTATGTTTTTGTTTTTATTTTGAAAAGTTTTACAAAACACATAGAAAATTGTGGAGAATTATGTATACATCTCTATGTTTATCAGCCAAATTTAACAAATGTTAACATTTTTTGCTTCAGATATTTCTAGATCTCGCCTTTTAAAACTTACAATGTAGAATAAATATTTTTATTAATTTAATCTATGATATTATTTTTAATAAATGTCTTTAGTCACTTATTATTGGAGATTTTGACTGTTTTCAAATTTTCACCCTTATAAACTAGATGGTCATGAACAACCTTTTGGCTAAAGTCTTGTATGTAGTTAGTTTCTTCCTTAAAATAAATTCCAAAAAGTAATTAGGCCTTTGACAACTTGAACCTGTTACAATTACATCCTAACCCTAAAACCAGAGTTCAGCCAAAGGGCAGCAAGTGTGGATCACCCTCTGTTGGGAGATCCTACTGCCAATTATTCCTGTTTTTATCGTAGTAGTCTCCCCTTATCTGTGGTTCCGCTTTATGTGATTTCAATTATGTTTGGTCAACCACAGTCCAAAAATATTAAATGGAAAATTCCAGAATTAAACAATTTATATGTTTTAAATTGTGTGCCATTCTGAGTAACATGATGAAATCTCTAGGCATCTGGTTACGTTCTGCCTGTGAATCATCCCTTTGTCTCCAGTTTCCAGCTATTATGTATATGCTACCTGCCTGTTAGTCACTTAGTAGCTGTCTCAGTTATCAGATTGACTGTCATGGTATCACCATGGTTGTGTTCAAGCCACCCTTATTTTACTTTGTAATGACCTCAAACTGCAAGAGTAATGACGCTGACAATTTGGATATGCCAAAGAGGAGCTATAAAGTGCTTCCTTTAAGTGAAAAGGTGAGTGCTATACAATAAGATATTATAAGAGAGAGAGAGAGATGGAAACAGACAGAGCACACATCTACATAAACTTTATTACATATACAATAAGATATTATAAGAGAGAGAGATGGAGACAGACAGAGCACACATCTACATAAACTTTATTACAATATATTGTTAAAATTATTCTATTTTATTATTAGTTATCGCTATTAATATCTTAGTGTCTACTTATAAATTAAACTTTATCATAGGTATGTATGTGCAGGAAAAAACATAATATACATAGGGTTTGTTACTATCTGTGGTTTCAGACATCCACTGGGGGTCTTGGAACCACTTCCCTACAAATAAGGGGAGACTACTGTGTTAAAGATGATTTCAGCAAGCTAATATTTATGCAGCACTTTCTTCAGGGCTAACTGCTATTACATACATCATTTTATTAACCCTCACAAAACCCTTATTTTGCAGAAGAGATTATAATGTATATAAGAGGAATTGAGGCTGGGTGGCATTAAGAAATCTAGGACTGCAGAGTTAGGGAACTTCTAATTCTAACATCCTCAATTCCTACCCTCAGTTTTTATTTAAAAGCACATTGCAATGTGTCTGACAGCTTTCCCGCTAATGATCAAAGGGATGTGATGCCTTCTTTTGGGGTACAACATGGATATTTTGGGAGGATCATTAGGGTCTTTGACTGGAATTAATATCTCTTCTCAACTTCTGTCTGGACTAAACTCAAGTATCTCAGCTAACAGGATTGGTCTAAAAATTTATCATTATGCTCTGAACACCAGATTGAAACCAAACACTGCTGACTATGGTGAGGAAAAGTAACTCCATTGTACTGTATATTCTTGGAATTATAGTTCTCTTGACCATGATCTATGCATTTTCATAAATTTACATTTTGAAGTAGAATTCTGCAATATGTCTTTTTCTTAAAACAGATTGCCTTTGATGGATTAACAATATTTAAAGGCTATCGTGTCCAGTATCATTTTGGCAATGTCATTTTTAGGAACTAAATTATTATTAGTAGTCTTACTGTCATTATCATTGTGATCTTATTATGATATTATTATTATTGTACTCATTTATTGAACACTTACTGTGTCCCAGACAAAACACACATCACATTACATTCTGGAAACAATCACACATGGTATGTGCCCATTTTACAGATGAAGAAAAAAGATGAAATAATTTGCTCAAGGTCACATAGCTAGTGAAGAGAAGAGCTAGATTTCATCCCAGACTTGCTGACTTTCCATAGCTAACCATCACCCCACCTCCCATAAAGGGAAAATCTCATGTGGTCGCCACCTCCAAATCTGACTTCTCACACTGTGAACCTGGGAGCCTCTTGTTTAGAGTTGTTATTTCTCCTGCACGTCCTCCTCCTCACCCTCCTTCTCCTCCTCCTCCTTTCTCATTATCCAAAATGGACTCTTAGAAACTCAGGTTGAAAAATACAAGTTAACGGTACAGGAGACTCCACCTAACAAAGCCACCAGCTTATTAATAGATGAGCTATATTTATCTGTGACACTGTAAGAATGAGACATTGCAAAGGAATGCTTAAACTTCTTGGATAAAAATTAAATTTTAATACAAAAAGTGTAGTGCCTTTTGGCTGCCATTTTGAACACTAATTCTTCTCCACTGAATAATTATGGGTTAATACATGCTGTTGGAAAGATACCAATAACAATAATCTGGTTCTTTATTTTAATACAATTAAAAATTTGTATTATAACATCTATGATGACTTGACAGTTTTGGGGGGATTTTTGTGTTTTATTTTTCAGTTTGTAAATAGTTCATGGCAGTTAAAACTAAATGATATATTGTTTATGGATAGATACAGATGAGGTAAAAAAAGGAAAATCAATAGAATCATTACCATAAAATTAAAGACAGAAGTTACCTCTGGTAGGAAAAGGAAAGGAGATTTGGGAATGGTTGTTTGGCTGTCAATCAATGTCTTCCACAGGATCTAATTCAGTTTGTTTTCCAAATGGATGGTCAGTTCATTTTAAAATATTTATCATTTACTTCCTATTATAGATATTTTCTTTTATAGTTTTATCATATACTTTTATCATATACTAAGATTCCCAGAAAATCTTATGGGAATCTTTGAAACATAAACAATGAGAGCAAAAATTCAACATTTGAGATTTGTGCAACAGATTACATGTTCAAGTACATGTTATACAATATATATTCGTTATAGTAAGCTCATTCAAATCTAAAGGCTTAGATCTTTACTGCATTGACCTGCTCTGTGCTGACTCTATCGTAAACCTGACTTACTGTGATCTGCATTTCTCATGGGACTAAACAGACTTTTGATTCTTCCTTAGAAAGCTTGTGCTGATGTTCCAGTAGCAGGCCAAACTCAGGGTGGGATACAAGAGAGGGTAACTAACATAGCCATGAGGGAGCTAAAGTGATCCCAAGTGGTCTCAGAACCTCCAAGGAGTCCACTTCTCTGACTCTAGAATCTCTGAATACTAATTCTTATTACAAGAAACTTACACCAGCTAAAGGAAATCAACTATGGGATTCAGATGATAAAAATTTAGTGTAGTAAGCTCTTTAATTAGTCTAATTCTGCTACTACTACTTCTGTCCAATGCTAGGTTTAGCCTCAAATTTTAATTCTAAGCCTGTATCACTAGAGGGCAAATTTAGTATTTATATTTCTCTATAAATCATATACTTGTGCACATAATTTAAGATAAGAAAACAATAATTTTGCCCAAAGAATACTCTATACATTTAGAATATATAAAAATTAATTCATAAATAATATTAAATTGCAAATGGTCCCTAAAAACACTCATACGGGCTCTTGAGTTCTTTGTTAAATAATACATCTAGCAAATTCATAGGTTTTTATTGTTCTAATCATGCACATAGAAGAAATGGAAAGTGCCAATGGTTCTATTCTGTTCGGACAGAACAAGCTTGCAAGTACAAACTTGAGAGTATTTACACAGTTTAGAAATATAGAGATGACTATTATACCATTACTCCTAGTGCAACAAAAGAACTAGTAAGACAACCAATCAGAATTTCAATTCCTGTTTGAAAGTTATTATAATAGAACATGCAATAACTGGTAAAATCTAGGGTCTTGTGAGACTTGCTTTGTTCAAATCATATTCTCAAGTACGGATTTGTTTTAGTGGAGAATAAAATAAGTTAGCAATAAATATAAGTATTCATACAAATTTCCCTCTAATACCAGAGAATAAAAATAATATTATTGTAAAAGGTCTCAGTTTAACATCTTAGCAAATCAAATTCTTTGAACTAAATTTAGAATACAAAACATCATCTCCTCCTAAATAGATGTAGGGAAGAAAAGCTATCTCCTTTATTTCTTTCTTACATTCTTTTGTTAATAAGGCCTGGCTCTGAAATTTCATTAGTTAGGATTATAAGGGGGAGAGAGGTGGGGAAGAGACAAGACTCTTAGAGCTCCATTTAAAATAAATGGGGAATGGGCTGAATAGAATTTTACTTAACAATTGCAATGTTCTCCCATATAACAGATTAGAAACAAGAAAAAAAACTCATTGTTAATTAGAGCATGGATTTCTCCCTAGTCAAGTTTTAAATTGCTGGGGTGTTGTTTTGTTGGTGTTTTTTTGTTTTTTTTTTTTTTTTTTTTTTAGTACTTTGAGTTTTAACTTGTCTGTGGATTGATGAAAAGATACAAATTTCTCCCTAGGCAAGTTTTAAATTGCTGGGGTGTTGTTTTGTTTTGTTTTCTAGTGATACCTTCTGCATCTATCATTTCCAGGGCTGAGGATATAAATACTACAGTGCCCAAGACAATAATTCATTGGGATAGTCAAACAAAAATTGAAAACGTTTCCTGTGAAATGAGATACAAGGCTACCACAAACCAAACTTGGAACGTAAGCTAACTTTCATTATTCTTTAGCATGTAAACGAATGAAAGAAAAGATAACCAGCAGTCAGAGACCGCAGTGGACTTATGATCTATTTTACATGTTCTTATCTGATTCCGTGTGATATTCAAACTACTCTAATTTTCATAATGATTACCACATGCTTCAAAACACAGAAATGTTTCCTGAAAAGGTTCTCTTCCCTTTGTAAATTGCTAAACAGACAAAGTTTAGCTAAGAGACAGCCATCTATTCAGCTCCTTATAATTCAGTACCTTCTAGAGTAAAATTTACACTTCCATGCTGAGAGGCATCTAGAAAAATAAAAACTATTTAAAAATAACTTCAAATTTATAGTGTTTCTTTTTAAGTGAAAAAATGTGAAATTCAAAATGTGAGATCTCTTATTAGTATTGCCCTTAGTCTTAGATGAGCATAAGGTAAAAAATGAATGTCTAGACAAACTAACCATCCTTAAGTACCAATGGTAAGCTACCAAGTGTCTTAAGAGAGGCATAGGTCTAAGGTTAGTTAATAAAATCACAACACACGACAGTACCTGTGAATATTAATAAAAACAAACTAATTTGAACTATAGGGGAACACTAATCTGAGGAAAAAGTTCCAATTTTGGGCATTTGAAAAGAAATGCCATTTTATTATTTTCAAGTACGTAAACTGCCATTTAGTCAAAATAATTAAGGCATAGAGTTGTCTGGCTTTGATTAATTAAGAGTTACATATCATGTATGATGGATATATGAATAAAAAAGATGTGATATATATACACAATGAAATTTTACTCAGCTGTAAAGAAGAATGGAATCTTACCATTTGTAACAACATGGATGGACCTGTGGGTATTAAGCTAAGTGAAAAAGTCCGACAGGGAAAGAAAAATACTATATGATTTCACATATATGTGGAATCTAAAAAAAAAACAAACAAACAAATAAACAAAACAAAACAAAACAGACACATAGATATCGAGAACAAGCTGATGGTTGCCCAAGGGGAGGGGGTTGGGGAATGGGTGGAAACAAAAGAAAGAAAATTAGTTCTGAGTGAAGATGGTGGATAGAACACACTCATCTAAATAAAATAAAATAGTAAAATAATAATTCTCCTTTTAAAAAAACAGTTATGTATCATGTATGAACTAACTGGTTTTCAGGGAGTTAAATGAAATGATGTATATTTAACACTAATCTTTGGCGATTACGATTAGTGTGACTCCAAAGCCTTCTACTGCTTCGGCCTCATCATTCTGAACATCAGTCTTGCTGGAGAGCAATGTGTTTAAAGAGGGTCAAGAAGGCAAGAGTAAAACTATATTGATCTCATGATATCTTCTAAAGATTGCCCTTTAAAAATAAATTCCTGATGTCAAATTTTTTTATTACTCTTATTCATTTAAATCAGAAATGTGAATTTTACAGTTGTTTAGATTACACTTTTCATTTGTTTAGATTTGACTTCACAAGCTGCATCATTTGGTGAATAGCCCAGTAATGACACACTGGACTCCTTGACTAAATAATTATGGCATCTCTGTGCACAGCAACCCCGTGCTTAAAGCCTGGGACAAGCAAGACAAACATGAAACAAAAATCCACAGCCAATCTTTTGCCTGTGTGGAATTTAGGTAAAATTGAAAACAATCTAAATGAAATTCTTGAGTTTTAGAATTTGAGTTAATAGGGGTTTGCTCAGATAGGACACCTGGGGCCCTTGTGTAGTGTCACTGTCACGGCATGATACTGAGAATATGAATCTCCCTTATTCAGCATAAGTAAGAGGAGGTAATAGGCCATCATAATGTTTAAAAAAATAGTAAGGAATAGTTATCAGAATCTCTGAATAGGCTTTAAGAAACCAACTCTTGTTCTCTGTTCCCCCTGGTGTTTCTACATATACCACTGTGAGACTTGGTAACTTTGAGGTAAATTTGAGCTCAATTTTCAAAACCCTCTCTTTATCAGCAGCAGGCAAATGAAGGAGTTGAAAGAATATTCTTATCTCATTTAATCTTCATAACAACCTTTTGTGATAGATAGTATCAGCTCCATTACAGAATGATCTTGAAAGAGATTAAGACAGACTGTACAAACTTTACACTGTTAATACCTAAGTGCCTCTCACAGATGCTACATCACTTTGGGCGCCCCCCAAAAATATCTGGAAAATGAAAGAACAGGTTTTAAACCAAAATCAGTATCCTGTCCTTTCTACTATGATTTTTCCAAATGTAACCACTCACACAGAAAAAGATGAATTTCTGTTTCTATCCAGATGAGCAAAGTCTAGTCAGTAATAGCCAGATGAAGCTTTGTGTTGTGCATCTGCTACCCCATCAATTTTGTCTGGGTCATGCATAAAGTGTTGTCTTTGCCTCCATGTAGGGAGACAAGAAGTCAGAGTTAAGAAGAATGGGAGGACCCAAAGGACTACAGATTTGCTCTTCTACCTCAGTTCTACCTCCATCAGATATTGCTGGAAGGAGGTTCCTTACTTCAAAGTAGCAGGCAGCTACCAGGAAAGGCTTGTGGCTAAGTGCACTGGCTCTAGAGTTCAAAGCCTGGTTCTTCTACTCTCTAGTTGTGCAATCTTGGGCAAGTTCCTTATATACTCTGTGCCTCATTATTCTCATACCTAAAATAGGAATAAGATAAGCACCTACCTCAAATGGTTGTGGGGATGATCAAATGCTGTTAGAAGCTAGCCCAGAGTCTGGAATAGAGTTAATGTTCAGTAAATTCTGGATGTTATTGTTACTCTTCATCTTAACCTCCAGGGAGACATGCAGCAGGCTTGATAGAGCAAAGGAAGCTCTTCTGAAAGTCAAAATCAGTACATTGAGAATGCTTTTCAGCCCTTTTTAGCTAAGCTGCATGTAGACTGTGAGGTATCAGCCAGCTCCTCAGGTGATCCTGCAAGGCTGACACTAAGGGAAGAATATTTATCTACTTGTTGGTTACGTTCATGAACTATTTCCCTGGCATCTCAAACTTGTGTCAAAAATCGAGCTCATAATCCTCAGCAGCAATCCTTGTCCACTTCTGTGTACACTATCTCAGGAGCATTTGCCATGTTGTATATACTTACCTGTTCACAAATGTATTTCCCAATCCTTTAACTATGAGTCCCTGGAAGGCAAGGCTGTTCCATAATCATTTTTGTATCTATACTGATTCTTATATCTTGTTCACATAGATAATATTTTAAAACATTAGCTATTGGTATTATAATTTGCGTTTAATGGTGCCCAACAGCAATGATAGTAAGGTAAGGAGATCTTCGCTGTAAATTCAAGTAAATTGATTAATGGCAACTCATTTCTCTAATTAAGCAAAACCAAGGTATTGGCAAACTTTTAATTCAAGGGACAAATAGTAAACAATTTAGGCTTTGCAAGCATAAGGTTTCTGTCCCAACAACTCAATTTTGCAGTTGTAGAATGAAAGCAGTATAAACAATAAATGAAGGACATTGTTGCATTCCAGTAACATTTCATTTTTATACACTGAAATTTGAATTTCATATAATTTCCATGCATCATAAAATAGTCTTCTTTTACTTTTCTTCCAACCATTTAAAAAACGTAAAAATCATTCTTAGTTTATGGGCTGTACATAACCAAGCATTCATTCTTTTCCTGAAATGTCTAATAGAACAGTATAGATAGCAAAGGGTCGAATCTTTGGCCTCTGCATTTCAAAAGTGGTATAAGATAGAAGACTTGGAAGAACCTGTGATTAGTCATGACTAAGCTTCCTAATAATTACCCACCTTTCATCTTCTACCAAACACTAGATCAAGATTATAATAAAGACTACCTGAGCAGAGAGAGGGAAAATGGGCCAGGGGCAAGAGTAATGGGGAGGAATCAAAAGAGTTTGGACACTGGCCAGTCCCTGAGAAGGGCCATGTCCCAGGCTGAGAGTCGGAGGAAGTTGTGATCATAGAACTCTCAAGATGCTCTTTCCCTTCACCCAAGGATCCTCCCAGAAACTTAGATGTAATTTCAAGAAAAGAGGTGTCTCAAACTGATGGAGATTAAGTTTCTATGCTCCCACATTCAGAATTGAGGGTCTAACTGGAAATTAATTGCTGTAAAAGAATAAAGTCATATTTCTTGCCCTCGAGATCCTATCCTCTCCATAGATGCTGAGTTAGGTCTTGCTCTCTCAATGTTCATTTTCGCCTCTGAGAGTATTACCTGGAGGTATCATCTGGTTTTGCTGGCAAGGCCTTAAGCAATCACCTGGCTTGCCTCATGGTAGAAACAACTCTGTTAACAATTCTATAAAATTCTTCTTTCTAGCTTAGAATTCTAGCTGTACTTTAGGGTATTTCTCTTCTCCAAGAAGATTTATCTATAAATGTAAAGGCAAGAGACATATTGGAGAATAACCACTCATTTTCAAGAGAAACTAATATGAAGCAGAGTGCATTAGAAAGTAAAACTTTGGGCACAAGTAAAATCTCTCCTGGATTCCAAGAGACGTCAGAGGCCACCCGTCATATTTACATAGTAGAAAATTCCAAGGGCCATGGGTAGAGATGTGGCTTATAAAAACTCTGAATGACATCTTTCAGGGAGCATGACATCCCCAAAACAGATATTTTAATGAATTTTACATTTTCAATGCATTGCAAGTTATAAAGATTTATGTTAAGATTGGTTTTTAACAGAAGAATCCCGAAATGAGGTTGATACCTTGCTTTTTTCAAAAAAAATCTTAATAGTTTCAACTTTTTCTTTCATGAGTGTCTAGTAACTTATTTTCCCCCAGTTGCTGCATAAATGCATTTCTAGACACCTTTCGATCGTACTTCACATTTTCAGTAAATCCCTTTATCACAACATACTGAAGGTACTGTGTAAATGGCTTGGTTTCTCTCTCCCACCTAAAGCAGGTCGTTTGGGGGTCCTTTTTCATTATATTTTATAGCAGTTTATAGTGCCCCAGATTATGATTTCTAAGTTTATACCTCAGCTATTTTCTTGCTTATCTTCCATTGAATTTTTCCAGTTCAACTTTCATAAATGTTTTGTTTTTATTCTCTCTCTCTCTTCTCTCTCTCTCTCTCACACACACACACACACACACATTAGGCATTATAGAATCTGCATAAATCTGCAATAAGAACCAATTTAACAGATTAGCTTATGAGTAATTTTTTCTAAAAGTCAACATTAGCAAGTGAAATTATTTCACTATTCATGAGTAATTATTGATTTAAATACCCAACTCCAGAAAGAGATCGAAAGGAGGGGAGAGACAGGATTCAAACAATTGCTATTATGTCTCCCATTTCTCTCACTCCATTAAAATCAGCTATTCCAAAATTAAGACTACATTACATTTGGATTTCCTTGAGATTTAAAAGCTTGAGAGAGTTGTCAAACACAATGTGTATTTCATTTTTAATGTTAAATAACATGCATTTGATTATGTATGGCCATTTCATATAAAGTACCCTATTTCTCTTTATTTTCCCAGGGTCTAGAAGAGTGCCTGAAACATAACAGGTGCTCTATGCATTTCTACTAAATGGAATAATTGTTCGTTTTAAGAGCACGGTGTATCATTTCATTATCGTTATTCATCCATTTTAGGTTAAGGAATTTGACACCAATTTTACATATACGCAACAGTCAGCATTCTACTTGGAGCCAAACACTAAGTATGTATTTCAAGTGAGATGTCAAGAAACAGGTAAAAGCTATTGGCAGTCCTGGAGTTCACCCTTTTTCCATAAAACACCTGAAACAAGTGAGTGTATTTATATATTTAATCTCTTAGGCTTTTCTTTTGACCTCTCTCTCTTCTAATCATACATATTTTTTTCCTTTTTGACTTTTATCAAAGTTGACAAAACTATTTTAGGGTAGGTGGTAACATTTAAATTGTCATTTTGCTTTGGTTTTGTTAAAGAAGACTACAATTAATGTAATGGTTCTCAAACATTCCTGGGCATAAAAACCAGTGAAAGCCACCTGGTAAGTCCCTCCTCCACCAGTCTGAGGTGCTGGGGCGGGGGGTGGGGCGGGGTGCTCAGGCATCAGCATTTCTTAAAAACATCCTGGGTGATTGTGAAGCATATAATAATCCAAGACCTTGTTTTGAAAAACATTATTAAGAGTTACAGTCAACTTGTTAGTTCTCTCTGATAAAATATATTCTCCTAAAAGAAACACAAATCAAATCATATCAATAAATATTGATTACCTACTGTATGCAAACAATCAGAAAGAGTTAAAACACTTAAACATAGGATTATTTTATTCTTGTCTCAAAATCTGGCTGAGTTATTATTTAATCTTTAGGTATTTCCTGCTCTTAACATTATTAGTTTATTTTTCTACTCATTGACACATGTCATTCAATAAAATCTTAGCCAAATAGACTTTAATTATAAGCAAATAATAAAATGAATCAATTGTAATTGTCATAAGATTCCATAATGGCCCCATTATTCTGAAGAAGTCATCTTATTATAGGTAATTTATACACTAGATTTATTTTTTTCTTTTCAGAAGTGAAGAACTTAATTATAACCACAATATTGTTAATATCATCTTTATTATAGCATAATATCTTAAAATCGTGTTTTATGTAGGCAAAGCACTTTGAAAAACATTATAAATATTGATGTAATTAGAGTAAACCAAGTTCCAAAGACTAGCTTCAAAGTTCTCTTGGCGCCCTCTAATGCCCAAATCTTAGATACACATTATGAAGGGAATCTATACTGAGTCTCAGTTCTCTTTTTTATACATTAATTTTTAATTTAAGATATTCTGTCTTCAGTTGATATTGTTAAAAATTCTCAGCAGTTTAGATGTCATTTTATACTAGTCATAATTTAGTTGATAACCCATTATTTTTAAATGAAATGTAGAATTGTCTAGCAAAATTATTCAAGTTGATAACTAATGTTTATTTACCACTTATGAAGTACCAATATATACAAGCTTGTTTGATCTTTGCATTAGCTACATTTAGTAGTGTAATTGGTACCATTTTAAAAATGAGGAAACTGAGGTGTAAATTGCTAAATGGCACATTGCTAGTGAGAAATAACACCTAAACTAGAATATAAGATTTCTTACCCACCACTAGTCCTCAGCAATCTCAATTTCTTTAACCAATTACATCAAAATGGAGGAGCAGTTTATTAAAGTATTCTACAAGTTAAGTATAAGACCACATTTGTTCTTCTTTAAAAGGTCTTAAACCTTACATCAAAGGAATAGGAACGTCATAGCTACCATGCAACAAGTCTAAATTAAAAGTCTTCATTTCCCAAGGAAAAAAAATCACTTAAAGCAAAAATGCCAGTTAAAATTAAATATTCTTGAAAACTTGCACCTATACAAGTTTAACATGTTAGTTAAGAAGAAATATAAACTATTCTTTTGGTATGAATTCCTTTCTAAGGCATGTTAAACAAGAAACAGTAAAAGTGTATTAGGGAAAGTGCTAATATTAAATCTTCTTAAAAATTTATCTCTTTTTTTATATTTGTAAAAGCAATGCAAGTCTATTGTAATACACAACCTAGAAATCACTGCTGTTTCCAATGCACATATTTTTTTAAATTAAGTTTATTGGGGTAACATTGGTTAATACAATTATATAATTTTCAGGTGTACATTATAATTTACCATCTGTATATTCTATTGTGTGTTTACCACCCAAAGTCCAGTTTCCTTCAATTACCAATATTTGATCCCCTTTACCCACTTCACCCTTTCCTTATGGCCCTATATTTGACCTCTTTTATCCCATCTACCTCTCCCCTCCTTCCTCACCTCCTACCCTCTGGTAATTACCCACTAGTCTATAGTCCATGTCCATGAGTCTCTGTTTGTTTGTCCTGTTCCTTTGTTACTTTTAGGTTTATATCCCACATATAAGTGATATCATGTGATGTTCAACTTTTTCTGTCTGGCTTATTTCACTTAGCATGATTATCTCAAGTTCCATCTACGTTGTTGCAAATGGCTGCATTTTATCTCTTCTTATGGCTGAGTAATATTCCATGGTATATATGTACCACAGCTTCTTTAGCCAATCATCTATCATAGGACATTTTGGTTGCTTCCATGTCCTGGCCACTGTGAATAATGCTGTTATGAACATTGGTGTGCAAATATCTTTATGGACATGATTTTTTAAGTCTTTGGGGTAAATACCCAGTAGAGGGATTGCTGGATCATATGGTAGATCAATTCTCAGTTTTTTGAGGAGCCTCCATACTGTTTTCTATAGTGGCTGTACCAATTTGCAGTCCCAACCGGCAGTATATGAGGGTTCCTTTTTCTCCACATCTTCCCCAACATTTGTTATTACTTGTCCTGTTGATTATAGCCATTCTAACAGGTGTGAGATGGTACCCATTGTGGTTTTGATTTGCATCTCTCTAATAGCTAGTGATGTTGAGCATCTTTTCATATGTTTGTTGGCCATTTGTATGTCCTCTGGGGAGAAGAGTCTGTTCAGATCCTCTATATGCACATATTTTAAATAAGCGCCATAGTGTATATACTGTTTAAATCCTGATTTTCTTAATTCATCTACTTCTTAAGTTTAAAAACCTATTTAATGGCTGATAGCATTCTAATTTATGAATGTACAATAATTTATTTCTCTATTTAAACAATATCTAGATTATTGCATTTTTTCCATTATCGATAAACTTCTTTAAATAACTTTGTATATTAATTCTCCTTTCGTTTTTAGGTCTTATTGGCTCAAGAGTTAAGCACATTTTAAGATGCTTGATACAAGTTGCCGAATTTCTTTTTCGTAAACCTTTAATATCAGATTTAAAAATGCCTTTTTAAAAAGTTTCCATGAAAAGACAATCATACATTCAGTCGTTCATGTCCATTTAGCCTATACTTGCTAGGCGCTTGCAGAATCTCAATGCACAGAGACAAAGATCCCTTAATTCTAGAGAAGATAGTCAATTAAAAAAAGCATAATAAAAAAAATAAATTACGTAGCATTATAAATAAAGATATAAATGAGAGCAATAAGGATGAAATCTCACAAGTAAAGTTTGAATTATTTCACAGTTGAAAGAAATAATAGTCTCTGTAATGCTTTAGTTAACCAACTTGTTCGATAGTGGGGTTTTTTGACCAGCCAAACTTTCCCAGCTATTAAAGGTTTGTTTATTTATTTATGAAGAAACACACCCCAGGCAATAATGCTCCCTCCATGCAGGAATTTCCTGTTTTGTTCTAAAATTATGTGTGTATAACTAAATTGATTCATCTCAAAACAATGTGTTTTCCCCAGTCTTATGACTTCTTTAGTTAAAGGTTTTAAGCCAGCCCTGTTCATTGTTCTTGTGCATCTAGGTTAACATACCTTTCTTTGAATACCCTTCGAAGGGGTATTAACCATTAGGAGAGCACATAATTGTGTTAACTATCCTGTAATCCAACCCCCATCTTGCTTTCTCCCACCTCCACATACATTTGCTCCTTAATTTCAAATGCATAAAAAAAGCTGCAAAACTGTTATTCTCAGGAGCATTTGAGGTCTTGCTCTCCAGCATGTCACTGATTTGGCGCAAATAAACTCTTATGTAAATTCGGAAATGAATAAACAAAAAAAAAACAATGTGTTTTCAAAATTATGCCCAGATGACACTGCAGAGCAAATCATGAAGTAGGTATGGCCCCTAGCATTCTTCCACATCACTCTCTCTCTAGATTGTGATTTCTTTGGCCTTTAAAAACCTGGACTCCCAAAGAAACCAAACAAACTCATTTATAGTAAGGGTTAAATGACTTATAAGACTTATTCTCTTTTCCATCCTCAGACTATTTAGATTTTAATGAAAAACAAAGCCTTATACTAAAAAAGAGAAAAGAAATCAATCAACTTCAGAATGTAATATCAGGCTTTTGCCTTCAGAATGTAATATCAGGCTTTTGCAAACACACAGGAGAGGTTTCTCTGGGTTAGAAACTCATATTTTTCTATCCTGGTATAATAGCAAGAAGTTAATTAAGGGTTATTTAAGGTTAATTAAGAGGCTATTTCAGGGTAACTTTAGGATAATAAATAATAATAGCTAACATTTAGTGGATGCTTGCTACGTGTTGGGCACTGTGATAAATATTTTATATATATTTTATATATATATATGTAAATTGCCCTTTACTCATCACTACAGGCCTATAAGAGAAGTATAATTATTATTACAGTTGTACAGATGGAAAAAGATATGAAACCCAGAGAGATCAAGCAGTTTTGCCAAATGCTACAAAGCTGGTAAATGATAGAACCAGGACATAACTCAGGCTAGGCTGTGAGATTCCAGCACCATTCCTAAGAGACCTAGGAGGGCCCCGTGTCATCGCCCTCTTAGTCACCTAACCAAATTCCCCTCTACACATTAGCTAATAATAAAACTATGCCAACAGCACTTCATTAAATGCAATGTTTGTTATTAAAATGTAAATACAGGAGAAAAGCGTAAACCATAAGATGCTATCAATTATTTCTACTTTGGCATGAAAACAAGATGTGGAAGTAGATTTGAGTTAAGGTTATGAGAACAAAACCACAGGGCTCCAGGAACCCTGGGGTAGGATAAGGCAGGCTGAGATGAAGATAAAGTACAGGTGGAAGAGGTGGCCTTGTCCAAGACAGAACCACTGCAGGGCAATTCATAATGTTTTTCCAGCTGATCCTGGTTCAGTATAGTATCTAGAAAGCAGTGCTTCTCAGAGTGGGGCCTGTACACCATC